TCAATCTGTGAGGCACAAAAAATGAGATGCACGCCTCTACATCTGAGGCAAAAAAAATGAGGCTTGCGCCTCATTTGAAGTATGTTTTTTTCAGATTTTTGAAAAGAAATTTAAAAAGGCCCTTTTTAAAAAAGAGAGTGGCCATTTAAAAAGACATTTTGGGTCAAACAAAATATTAAAATATCTAGAATACCAAAAGGCAGCTAGAAATCCTTCTACACGACAGGCATAAATCTTCCTAGATGGCCAGAACTACACTGCAGTCAAAAATCTTCCTAAAACTAAATGGCAACAAAAAACTTATCTTCTATCATTCGCTTAAAAGTGGTCCTCAAATGCTGCTTCTATGTCTCTTTTCTCCTTTGTTTTTGCTTTCTTCTAGTGACTTATAATTTAAAATTGTTTCCCCAGACTTTGCTTGGCTTTTTTCTTGTTCAGTGCATCGTCACTAGATTGCACCTATTTTGTTCGGCAGATTGCACCTGTTTTGTTTGTGGTGAGGCTTACGCCTCAAAACGTTTTGAGGCTTACGCCTCGTCTCATTACAAAAAAACGNCTCTTTTCTTCTTTGCTTCTGCCTTCTTCCAGTATCTTACAATTTAAATTTGTTTCCCTAGACTTTGCGTGACTTTTTTCTTGTTCAGTGCATCGTCGCCAGATTGCACTTATTTTGTTCGGCAGATTGCACCTATTTTGTTTGTGGTGAGGCTTACGCCTCAAAACGTTTTAAGGCTTACGCCTCCCCTCATAACAAAAAAATCACTCGGTACCCATTTACGTTTTTTCAAACTATGGGCTCAAGCAATGTAGGCTATTGTATTCATTGATATTATGAAGTCAAATGTTAAGGCCAAAATGTTGTCTCAAGTTTAGATCTCAAATGAAATCCAAATGTTCAAGAAGGAATTCCATTGCTTTTGAACGTTGTCAAAAAGTTCCACTATACTAGAACAAATATAATTTGCAATTACTCAATTTTGTAATGCAAATAACTATTATATGAACTTTATTTTATGCCAAGAATTTGTGAAGCATTCGTTGACAATCTTGAGCTGAAGCTGAGAAACGTGAACCAACTAAAAAAAATATTTGAACTTACTTGTTTGTCTCCCATTATTAAGAGAAAATTAGTGTAATGAATAGTATTTTTTGGAGAACGTGTGGTTGAAAATTAAAGTAACTTTATTGGTTTGTGTGTAGAATATTTTATTTGGTGAATGTGTGGTGGAGAATCTTACTGTAGCAAACAATTTTTTTGATTAATGGTAGACAAACAGGGGCTGAGTTCAGCTAGAGATGGTAAGCTAATCAAAAGTGGAAGTAGAGAAGCAAGGAGGGAAATACCGAGCTGATTCCTGCAGCGAAAAAGGGAACTGGACCAGGCTCAGTATTGCCGTTTTGAGAGGGGTTGGCAGCTCTATAAGCCTCGGGAGGCATAACTCCATATACAATAGAAATATTGACACCAGCCTTTTCCCAAACAGCGCCATCCTGCAAAACCCTGCTGATTCCACCACCACCACCAGGCCTGGACCACACATCTTCCTTGAACTTTCCACCTTGGTCCATAGCCTCTATGGCCGAGCAGACCCCGTCCTGTACCTCTCTAATCATCTTCTCGAATCGAGCTCTCACCGAGTTCGAATTCGAGTTCTGGGAATGATTGTCGTCAGTTTCTCTGAGGAAAGTGTTGGGTCGTTGGGTCTCGGGCGTTTCCTTCTCAATCATGGGCGAAGATGATGCTTTCATTTTCAGTGAAACGGCGGATGGATATGCGAACTTGCTTGTTCTAGATAGATTAGCAAGATTGAGAATAGATGAGGATGAAGGGGAAATGGTGGAAAAGGAGGAGAGTGGGAATACGGCGGCGGAAGAAGAAGAAGAAGAAAAAGCGGTAAGTGTCGGCGTCTGCATTGCCGTCGATGTGTTTGTTGGGTGGTTTCGCAGAGGGATGAGTTAGAAGAGTTGAAGTGAAATGGAGCGGTCACACTGATAAAGGGATGTGATACGACGATGGCTGCCGCTGGTTATTGACTCGATTCATTTGGATGGCACAACAATGTCAGTCTTAATCTTTACCGACGGTTCTTCTGTCTTTAGTTTTTTACTGAATGAAGAAAAAAAATTAATAAGAGGAACCTTACAGTCCAAAAAATATCCAATAGGATAGTCCCTACGATCCATATTTTTCAGTTGAAAGTGAGACCGTACATCTCCTTCGATTGCGCAATTAGGAGGGAAAGTACGACTCCATATTAGATTTGGCTAACAATTAGATAGGTTTTTGAGGTGAGAGAAATACTTCCGAGGCCAATTTTATTGATTAAAGAGAAAATCGATATTAATTTTTATGACTTAAATACACTTAACTATAGCATAATTTTTTAAGCTTTTTAATCAAAACCGATATTAATTTTTATGACTTAAATACACTTAACTATAGCATAATTTTTTAAGCTTAATCACTCAAATCGTCATTAATGGAAATCATTCAAGTCTTCATTAGTTATTCGCAACACTCACAAATACATGACTCACTTCAAATGAACTATTACTTAGCAACTTGGACACCCTATTCTCTTCTTCCTAGTTTTGAAATAGCGTCGGTATGAGCATTTTCTATGTGTGGGATCTGTGTCAACTCAAACTTTTCAAATGCTGGAATAAATTTCATTACCAACTTTAGATATGCAGTCATGCTCTTATCCATGACTGAGAATTTGTCATTAACCTGGGTCAGTACCAACTGGGAGTCACTGTTGATAACTAACATCTTCACTTGCATCTCTCTAGCTAATCTGAGGCTAGCTAAAAGGGTTTCGTACTCTACTGCATTGTTGGTAGCCTTGAATCCGAACCTCACAGCACAATTAAACATGTGTCCTTCTGGGCTTATTAGGACCACACCTGCCCTAGATCCTTTGTCTCAAGAGAATCATCAACAAATAGGTTCCATGTAGGAGGTTCAACGGGCTCCATTTCTGAAATATGAGCGAATTCTGCCGAAAAGTCTGCCAAGGCTTGGCCTTTAACAGCCGCTCTCGTTTTAAACACAATATCAAACTCGCTAAGTGTTGTTGACCTATGGTTGACTTCTCATTTTGATTATCACAAACAAATCATGTTTATTGCTAACAAATTGATTTAAGTGTCCTAGTGATTATTGCACATAAGTATATTCGATATCACAAAGTTCAAGACCAAGATATTTGCACACAATGGCCAACGTGGAAATATGATCAAACAATCGA